ATTAGGCTATCAATTTAAAAAAAAAGCTAGTTTTGAAACAAAATCAAACAAAGAAAACTTTGTGAACTTAGCACCAGAAGAAAACTTACTAACGAACAACAAAGCCGAAAATACAGCAGAAACCCTTTGAGTCGAAAAAAACTTAAAAAACTTAGGTTTGAATAATTAGTCTCTCGCCTTCAAAACATGCACAAGCACAAAAAGACAATTCCCGTCCGTCGAACCACCCAATATTAGGCTATCAGGCCGATAAAATAAATTTCGATACCTATTAAGTCGGAAAAAAGATAAATAATCAATTTTAAAACAGGCGAAACGGAGCTTTGCATCACTTGCGATTAGACAGTCATAAGAAGCATAAGTCAAAAAAAAGTTGAAAAAAAACAAGGTGAATCAAAACTATCGTATGTCTCGATGAAGGACACCTAGGGCTAAGCTAAAGCTGAGTTTTTTCTGCTAAAAGCAGATCGCGGCCGGTAGAGTAGACAAGATTCCCAAAATCCAGTGTCTCGATTGAAAACGCCAATTTTCGAATAGATTTAAAAAAAAAGGTCGAACGTTCAAAATTTCTATTTGTCTGAACGCCATAATTTTTTCTCTGAAAGAAACTTGGCGTAGCAAATTATAAACGTAAGCTTCCAAAATTCTTTTCAGCCGAACCTTTGATATCGAATTTGGCAGTATAGCAATCGAAAAAAAAGGGTAATTAAATCAGAAAACTGATCATTCAGAGAGTCATAGTTTAAACTCTTAAAATTGATCGCAGCCGCTTATGCAGAAGAGGTTAACCAAATATGTTATTGCGATTGAACCCAAAAATCTAGGTTTGGTAGACTAGTTCTCGAGAGTCAAAAAGTTTCAAAAATCGGTAGAAAAATTTGGGTAACCGAGGGCCATAATTTTTTGTGCCAAAAAAAATTGGCTTAGTTGCGTATGCAAAGGAGCGTCTCACAATCCGTGATTTTAATTCAACCCAAAGGCTCAGATAGCGGGTATTTTTTTGGTTAAAATCACAAAATTTAGAAAAAAACTCAAAAAATCAAAAACTGATCCGAGGACCATAACTTTTTATGTGAAAAAAAATGCGAATCGCCGCTTATCCAGGGGAGAGGAGCTTCTTACAATCCGACGTCTCCATTGAGTCCAAAACCTCAAATTTAGCAGGTTGGGTTACGAGAAAAAGATTCGGAAAACGGTCAAAAAACTTGACTGTTCCGAGGGCCATAAACTTATGAGTAAAAAATAGCTTTATCGCTTATAGAGGTGAGCTTCCAAAATTGTTCCTTTACATTGAAACCAATATCATTAGAAAAAAAAACTCTCAAAAAACAAAAAAAAATCATTTTTCGAGGACGATAACTTTTTGTGTAAAGAAACTGCGAATGGCCACTAACGCAGTGGAGCTTCTTACTACCCATTATAAGTTTGAGAGGTTAGTTTTTGAGAAAATTTGGAAAAGATTCAATAAAGGTCGAACAAATCAAAGTTTGATATTCCCAGGGCCATCATTTAATTTTATTTAAAAAATGGGCATTACCGCTTACGCGCTTACGGAGGACAGCTTCTTAAACACTTTCAATTCAATGAAACCAAAATCTCAGCTTGTAAAGGTGTATCTTGAGAAAACAAAAAATCAAAAAAATTCGGTCAAATAATCCCCGCACCGACTTTGTCGAAGGCTGTAGACAGAGGGGTAAAGCAAAAAGAGAACAGGTGAGAAGGCAGGGACACAAGAATGGAGGCAGTCTTTCTATGGATACCTCTTCTGTTGAAAATCGGTAGACTTAAAATTTTTGAAAGCGTCAAAAGAAAACGAAATAAGAAAACATACACTTTCATAATACCCGTTTTTATCAAACAAAAATTCCAGGCAAACATATCAAGCAATACACTTGAAATTCAAATTAGCAACTGAACTAATTTTAAAGCAGAAATAAGGCCGAAAACCTTTGAGCAGACACTAGTTGAGCAGGAAAAAAATGATTGTTTCAAAAAAACTTCGAATAGTTTCAAGCCTTCCTTTCAACTACCCTGTAGTTATTAGTACCCAGCAGGTCGTTATAACTGAATTTTCTTGAAACTGAGCATGTCAGCTGAAAATCATGTCAAGAGCATTGAGCAAGTTAAGTGATTCAACTGATTTTGTTAAACTCGTTGACCAGAAAAAAGTCTTTCCGATTTAATAACGCTCGCTAATCGCAAGCGTGACAAAATGAGTCGGTTAACTCACAATTAAAAAAAATTCGAATACGAAAGATCGTTCAAAACTTGTTGCAAGGAGAGGTAAGAGAGACATTAAAACAAAAAAAAATTAGCAAATAAATTTTGGTGTAAAGGGACGTTTTATCTGAAGAGGATACACTAAGAGCAGAAATAATTATCTGCTGCAAATGCACTATCAGCCAACATTCGCAAACAACACATTTCGAATGTTCACCGTCTACCGACAAATTCGCCAAGAGGTTAGCCGATTATTGCCAATTTAAGAGACGTCTAGCAAAAACTGAAAACACTAACTGAAAAATCTAGTAGTTTTTGAAGATCTCAGCAGGCCAAGAACTAAAATCATCAACATCATTTCAGATTCTCATTTCAATGGTGTTTTTGGGAAATCCATGAGCTCAGCTGGCTCGTAATCATAACTCTGGTGCTTCTTTTTCAAGCAAATCTTTTACAATCGTTTCTTCTAATGTTCCATCATTAAAAAACACCATGAAGATTTTGAAGCACTTCTTTTTAGTCTCGAGTCTCCGGCTAGCGTCATATGTTTAGTGTTATATGTCTTAGTGCTAGAGATAACTCAGAACTACTAAAATAAGAAGCTTACAATAGCTTATCACTAAAAACAGGTCTAATCGTGATGGGGACACAATGATACAAATTGTGAAAAATATCAAGCTTGTAAGAAAGCTTGAAACCAGCTTTAGCGAAAAAAAATTGATATTATTATTGAAAATTCAGGTAATCTAGTTGTTCTGCTTGTTTACTACACTTCACCGGGGATAAACTACCTTTCACAGAATATCTTATTGAAAAGCTGGAGAAACTAAATTCAGACTTTCGAAAATCATAAAATTATAGATGGAGACTTCAACATTGATACTTTAGAAAGCAATCAGTTAACGCAGCGGTATGTGAAGATTACAGCTAACGAATTTGAACTTATGAAATCGAAACCAACTAGATTTAATGATAAATCCCCTGCAAGTACTGACCCTTCCATTTTCCGTAATTTGAACAGCCCAACTTTCGAATTTCTTAACAATGAGTGCTTCTTCGATCACTATCCCGTTACTTTGCGCGAAATCTTCGAAAACAAAGATACGATTAAACGCAAACAAATCGCGTCATGTCCTTTCTAATGATCAAAAACTGAAAAATTTCCAGCTTCAATTTAAACCTAAATTTGAATCGTCAGGGCTAGTAACATATGACGAGATCAATTAATCATAAAAATTATTTCAAAACTGTTTAAGGGAAACATTAGATGATTCTGCACCTCTACGCGAGGTCCGCCAAAAGACAAGAAGTAATGCTCAATGGTTCCAGAAAAGCCTGAAAAACTCAATAATCAAGTGAAACTCTTTATTAAAAACTTGGAAAGCTGATCCTGACAACTTATTGAAAAAGACATTTTCTTCAGGAAAGAAAGAAGATAGAAAATAGATAAGAACAACTAAACGTGACTACTATCATAATAAAATAAAGAAAGGTATTCAGGACTTGGGACAGGTTTTACGTTACTAAATGAAATACAAGGGAACAATTCCCTCAGAGTAAACACTACACTAGTCACCAATGGAATGATTAAGCTGCCACTGCTGAGCAGCAGAGGTGCCACCAAGATAAACACTACTTACAGCGAGTTTTTTCAAAATGGTTCGTAAAATAACCTTACACTCGCTAGGTTGCTGTTGTATATTCTGCTCCATTCTATTTCAGTTTTTGTTCAAACCAATTCACCAAGTGAAAGAACTGTGGCGTAGGGTGTTTTTCTGAGTCTGACTACCTGAATGAAAGCTCGCAGGAATCTAGTTAGTTATCACATTTAAAACCCTTCAGTTGTGATTCCGATTCCAAAAATAAAACTTTTAAAAAACTGGTCTGAACATTTTCGGACACACTTTTATATATAAAACTTTGATAAATAATACTTTTACTCTCGGTTTTTGCAATTAATACCCTAATTAAGTCGCGGTTTGCTGAAAAAAATGACGATTTTTTAAACATTTTTGAACTCCTTTCCCCTTTGCAATTGTGGTTGCAACAATCTACGCTACTTGTTTTTATTCAGAAATTATATCTTTGAATTTACGAATCAATTGAGCAATTTTATCTTTTCACTCAAGAACAATAAGTCGACTTTACTTGCATCATTTTTAGTGATTTTTTACTCTGAAACTATTTGAGTTTTAAAATGGTTTTTTTGTATTCAACACTTGATGGAGAATCTGACGCATGATTTCATATCATTCCAACTATTTTCAGTTATTTTCAATAAACATGTACCTTTTGAGCTATCCAACCCACCAGGGGGGAATTGGAGGAGACTGTTGAATTAATCCCAATCTACCTCATATTTATTAAAAAGGACGAAATTTGTTGTAGCGACATGATATGATCACAGACACTGCTTGAACAACTTTGCACGAATAACCGAGAGCATGGACTTAAATTGAATCAACAATACAATTATGGCGGTACAATATTTTATTCGCACTAAAAGTTGATGAGAATCTCTATAATTTAGAAAAGGCCATGACAGGTCACATGGTTTCCTTAGTAGGTTAATCTAGTCACAACTATAACTCTAAAGCTTATATTCTAAAATTATAATTAATCAACTACAAAACTCTAGAACGATAACCAGTGATAAGTTTACCAAAACCCTTCCGTCATAATTGTAACAGTGAAAATAAATGACATTCAAATCAGAGAAGTTTTGTCGGTCTGTCAGTTGAAAAAAAGTTTCTAGTGGTTAGTATTTTACTTTGTATTGCTTAGTAATCAATCGCTCGTTCGACATTTGGGTGCTCATTTTTATGCTGATATCTACGTCGCCCACGACCTCCATTCTCGATCCCCCGAATTGGCTGCTGCCTTAAATTAGCAGTGGCCCTCGCCCACTCTTCATTGAACTGACTTGCTTCCGATTCATCCATGTTGATAAAGTTCTGCCGCTCGTCCCGTTCATTGGTCCGTCGGTTCATCGCTCTTTCGACAACATGGCCGCGTTCGTTCAGATGATGTCCAATTGCCATTTTGTTCAAACCTGACTCCGTGTCACGTACCGTTTTCCTCGTTTCCTTCACGCCACCGGGCCCCTGTCTAGTCGAAGAGGTGGCTTCGAAATACTTCGGTTCTCCCTGACCGCCTGCATTGCTGAAACTCATCACGCTCGAATAGGAATAGGACTGCCCGTTCTGACCTACATGTTGCTGCAATTGACTCATATCCGGCATCATAGGTCCAGCTGTAAACCCTCTGGACATTTCCTGCATCATCCGATTCATATGAGCAAAAGGATCCATAAACATATCACTTTGTCTGGCCAAAGAATGGTTTCCCCTCTGCTGTCCAGTCTGTCTCATATCTGGTGGTCCTTCTAGAGCGCCAAAAGGACTGCCATGATAGTTGCCAAATGGTTGAAAGAACGGATCGTTGTTTATGTTAGCGAAATTATTGCCCCACATATTTTTCTACCGAAAACAAATGGAAACATCACTATCATGATGACTAGCTCGTAACGCACCTCCGGTGCCTCGAATTTTTATCAACTCTAGAAACAACCACATATTTGGGAAATAAGATCTATATCTTTTGAGTGAACTTTGACAGCAGCCAACCATAGGGTTCGTGATACAATTTTTTCATAGTTTTATTAATACAAATTTTGAAAACTCATAAAACTTGTGCAGTTTTAAATTAATTTATTGAAAAAATTTAAATCAACAAAGAAACGTCACATCCCGGAAACTATCAGCAATTGATCAGTCGCATTTGGAATCAAATTTTGTGACATTCGACTAGAATTGTGCCAGCCGGTCATTTTTGGAAGTTTGACCTTGAGGAACACGAAATACGTAATTTTGGGAGGAAATTTAATTTTTCAAAATTTCGAATGGAGCCTGTCATGGTCAACTTTCTCGCGAAAACTGAAAATCTCAGAAAAAGAAGATCAGAACATACGATTTACAATCGCGGGAAAGTACCTAAAAAGCAGCGGGATATTGCTCTTCGCAATTTCCAGATACAAAATAAACGCGAGTAGAGCCGTCTTATCCTGAAATAGGAGAAGAAACGATTGCGAAAAAAAGAACACAATTATTCGAGCTGAACTAGAGTGAATCCTCAGTGGAAAGGTGGACAGCTGGGGTGTCCCAATGGTTCAGACCAAAACTTCATTACTAGAGTCAAAACTTATTTCCCTTATTGAAACTAATTAGTATTAAACTTCTCAAGTTATCATACTTATTTCTCGAGTTGCTCATTAATTTAGTTATGTGACATTCGACCAGAATGTGAAAAATGCAATCTATGCAGACTTCGAATTTTTAGCAGTAAGCCTTCCGGATTGATGATTATTAAGAATTAAGAACGTTATTGGAACGATTGGCCAAACGGTGAGGGCTGGAATATTCTGGTATTTTAAAATTTCAAAAATTCGAACTATGACGTCATATTTCTGAGAAACGTCAGAAACGGCCATTTTGACTAAAACGAGAAAGAAAAAGAGAACAACATTAGCTGCGCTAACAACAACTACGAAATTGAGATCGGAAAACGACAACGAGTTACAGAGTAACAGAGAACACTCCGAGTTGCAACTATTGTGCTGCTACAATAGTTGCAAGGCCGTTGCGAACAACGGTGAAGGGTGAGAGACGGCCTTCCGGATTAAGAGAAAATCAGGATTAGCGAGCTTGATCCAGCGGATTCATCAATCCGGAAGGGTAAAGAAACTGAAACTTTTAACCTGTTACATAAACTTTTAGCTTCCTGTCATGTCCTGACTTGAATTTAATTAATATCTAGATTCATTTTGATAAGGATGAGAAGCTAGGAGTTGGGGGAAAGGTGTGCCATTCTGCCAGATGACACAGCACAACCTTCCGGCGACGTAAAAAAGAACGACTAAAGGCCTTATTGACGAAAAAGTATTGCGAAGGAGGGTCGGAATATTCTAGAATTTTCATTTTTAAAATTTCGATTGGAAGAAGAATATTTCTCAGAAATACGAAAAACGGCCATTTTGACTGAAAAAGTGACGAAATTGAGAACAACGACAGATATAGTGAAAAACAGTCGTGCAAGAGACGGAAAATACGGAGCCCCTTATCGTGGCAACAACACACGATAAGGACCTTAGCAGTGTATATTGGTGGAGAAGGAGGCTTGAGTGGGGGAAGAAATATACCACGGAACCCTCCCGGGACACAAATTGGAAGAGATAAGAGCGTTATCTCAGGAATATTACGGGAGCGGAGGCTTGGTCCCCCAGAGACTGTTTATGTGAAGGGACTGTATAGAACTAACTTTGTAGCTACCTGAATGTCATAGATCTCTTAATTAACACCGTTATTGTTTGATATTTCAGAATATGAGTAGCTAGAAAGAGGAAAGGGTCAATCCATCTCCAATGGATTTAATATAGAACTGTCACACAAAAACATATTAAAATGGGTTGTTCGAGCCGTGTTTTTAATGACAATCATGAAGTCTGAGGATCCGAGACTCAGCTATGTGGTTGTGTTCGCATGTAAACGAAAGCTGATCAAAAGTCGTTTGACTGATGGCCTAAAAATGGTAACTTTTTACTTTGCCCTAGACAGACCAGAAAATCAACTGGCAAGGTCGAGACGGTGAAAAGCGAGTAGGATTAAGGTAACTGACGCCTGCCAGTCGTTAATAGGTACTTTTCCAACGCTCCGTCGCTGTGTAGTATTTGGGTGAATGTTACATAGACGTTTTTATGGCGCTCCTGGGTGGGCCTGTCAAAGGCATAAGACCATCATGATCAGCAAGCGTTTCAGCGACGAACCCTCCGCTCCGGGCGTATGCCCGAGTTGGAGGCCTTAATGACCGTTATTGTACTAGCGGGAAGGTGCGTACCCTCCGTCCAGTACAATTTAGCTTTTTGACTTGGTTAACACCGAAAGTTCCGGTGGCCGGAGGGTTAGGTGGGAAGTCATGAACCCGCTTGTCCCGAGGTCCCGGGACCAAAAACAATTAAAGAGAAAGCGTAAAACCAAACAAAAATAGTGTATAACCAACAAAAAACCAAAACAAATTTATTTGAAAACAAAAAAGTACAAAAAACAGTAAAAAATCCAAAAAAGACCAAAAACAGTAAAAAATGTAAAGTGACAGTTTATATGTTATTTCCGGACGAGATGTGATCTGACCTTCCTATTTATTGTTGTTTCAGATTGATTTATATCGTTTCTGATAGAAAGATTGTGTGTTTTGGTGAAGGGTTGGATACCCTCCCTCGAGTGTAATTTGAGTGTTTAAGCACGTTAATGGTGATTTTGCCGGTGGCCGGAGGGTAGAGTGGCAAGCTGATCAACGTGTTCCACACTCAACAGGGGGGACATCAGGGACAACATCCGCAACGTCTGTTGGGTATCGTTGAAGCAATTTTAGTATCGTTTGGGTACTATTTCATTAAAACTTAAGTGGTGGGGGGCACGATTGGCGCGGTCCGATTGTACCCTCCATCGATTACAAATTTCCGAGTTAAGGGTCTTAATTCGGGTATTTTGGTGCAAAGGAGGGTATAGTACTATTCATTAACGACTATTAATAGGTTATTATCCTTATTACATATTACTTATCTATTTAGACCCAAAAAAAAACACCCAATTTTGTCGAAAATCATCGATTTTCGATCAAACTGTAGAACAACAAAAAGCTATTATATAGGGAGTAGCTACGTAGTTCGATCCCCCTAACTAAAGAAACCGCGTGAGAAAAGACTCAGTAGAAGTTGGAAAAAACCAAAATTTTTCGGTCAAAATTTCGATAATTTTCTGAATTTTGTCAATCTGTTTTGGGGATCGAGTTTTTGAGTTTTTAGAGTTAGAGCAATAAAATTTTTTGCGTTAGGAGCGTGCTAGCATAACGTGCTCGGTTACTAGAGAAATTCTTGAGTAACCCTCCGATCAGCTCCGTAGATAGAGCTAACGACTTAAGGATCGGAAAAAGAAGGAATCGGAGGGTCTAAATTTGATAGTTATTGACCAAACTTTTGTCTCCAAACCAATTTTGATCCGGTTTTTTGCACTATTCCAGTGCCGTACAGGGCTACTACGCTCGTTTCAATTATTTTTAGGCACTTTCGATAGGAATTGCGGAAAAAATTTTTCAGAACCTATATAGGTGGTGAAAAAAGGCCACTTGGACAAACACGTTTTTGGCAATTTCTCAAAGACTAGTCATCCGATCGGGATAATTTTGGTACCATAAGTCAAAATTTTGGATCACTTTTCCGGAACGCAACCGTTTTTGGGTTGATAATCTCGGAAAAGAAAATTTTTTTAGAATTTGTTGGTTCGGAGGGTCCAAATTACAGGCAACCCTCCGAGCGGCAGAAAATTTTGTCAAAACATCTTTTTATTCAACTGGGAAGGTTGACCGTGTCAGCCAACCTAGTTTTAAGTCAGGTAGACCTCTTTTGGAGACTTTGTTGCAGTAACATAACCTTTTTTCTTGATTTTTGAGAAACCCTCCGAGGCAACCCTCTGGAGTCAGCTAAGGCCCTTAGCAACCCTCCTTAGTGTAAAATTTCCACGAGGTTATCCAAAGAAGTTAAGACAGCCCCCCTGATAGAGAATTTAGCTTGTTTTGACGCTTCCTGAAGTCAATTGAAGGCCCTTCTGAGTGAAGCTCAGAAATTTGAAAATTTTGGAGGTACCCTCCGAAGTAACCCTCCGGAGCATATTAAGCATCTTATTGACCCTCCTTAGTAAATAAAGGGGGACCCTCCAAAGTGACTTGGGTGATTAAGGTACTCTCCGAAGTAGGTTAAGTGTCCTAACAACCCTCCGAAGTAACCCTCCGGAGTGTCTTAAACCTTCTAAACAACCCAAAGTTAGAAACTTGAGGAAATCTTCTGTGGCAATTTGGGAAAAGGAAAATATCCATTTAATTTAAATCATATTAGGATATAAGGCGCGCTTATTAAGATCATAAGAGCCCATTTTGACCCGGAAATTTGTGATCAACTTTGGATTCTAGATCGGGTGTATCAGAATTACCCGAACAGAATTTTTTTTTATTGTGATTTTGGTTGTGTGGTTGCCTTGAGCTACTTAATAGGAAAGTTCGGGCAATCCAGGAACGAATAAAGGAATACCTCGGTGAGTGTATTAGGCAAATACACACTCACTTGAGAAGAAAAGTTGTTCCCTACTCTCGTGCACTTGGAGCAGTCCGGGTGTGGGAGAGCTTTTTCATAGACTTTGGAAATTTTCGATCAGAGGTTGCCTTGAGCCATTTAATAGGACAGCTCGGGCAATCACAGGGCACCTAAAAGAAGACCTCGGTGGGTGTATTAAGCAAATACACACCCACTTGAGAAGACTGTGTCCTGGGCTTTGTTCTTTCGGATCGTTCCGATTGAGGGAAGTCTTTTTCTTTAAGACTAAGTTTTATTGATCTGTTTCTGAGTCATCACTGCTTTTATCAAAGA